CTGATGGGTCCTGAGAGCCTAAACAGCTCCTTTGGGAAGTCTCCACAGGTGGGCAGGCAGGCAGCCAAGGCAGCACAGCCTGGGCAGCAGCCACAAACCCTGACTCTACCTTGAGGTCGAGGCTCCAGGCCAGTGCATGTCCCTCCCCGTCCCACAGGCAGAGCTGCCGGTCGTGGCCACAGGTGAGGAAGCAGTTCTGGGCAGGGTGGGTGCAGAGTCCCCAGAGCTCGTCAGTGTGGCCCTGCAGTGGAGCAGTGAGCCGGTTACCACCACCCTTGCCGGCGCCCTGCCCTCACCCACCACTGACCTGGATGACAGGAGAGAAGCCCTGGGCCAGGTCTCCTCTCAGCAGCGCGTTCCTTGTGGTCCCCACCAGCAGCTCGGAGCCTGGCCCCTCGGCGATGGCCCGCACAGCACCAAAGTGCTCTGGAATCTGCACGCAGAAACAGAAGTCTGGGGCCAGCTTGCAGCCACTCCAACCCTCCTGGGTGCAGACCTGCCCTCACCTCTGCCTCCTGGAGGGCCACCAACCCTGGCCCCCACTGCACCAGCCGGCGGTCCCGGCCACCACCACTCAGCACCGTTCCATCCCGTCGGAGACACAGAGCGAAGATAGAACCTTCGTGAGCGTGGGCTTGGGCCACAATCCCATAGGTCTCTGTGGACAAAGCCCTAGGAACCATGATCTTGAGGCACATGGGAATGGTATCATAATAGCAGTAAATACATGGCACCTGCTAGGTACCATCCCTCATCCTCTCACCTTCCGTGGCCATGGGTCTTCCCATTTTACAGATGGGAAAGCCAAAGGTCAGAGAGGCAAAGGTGCTTCCTGAAGGCCAGGTGACCCAGCCCTCCTCCCTCAGCCCCTTCTAGCTCAGAGCCCCAAAACTACCAACTCCAAGGTGGAAAGGGGACCCTCCACTTGTGCCCACAGACCCTCCAGGAGCAGCTGTCCCAGCCAGTAGGGGCCACACACCTTTGGCCCCACCCCTGCCTGGCGTCTTGGAATCAGACAGGCTCCGGCCCCAGGTGAGGATGTTCCCCTCTGAGTCCCCAGTGAGGATGTCCCCGTCCGGCAGAAAGACAAAGCAGGGGATGAACTTGGGCTTCTTGTATTTCTGGGAGTGGGGAAGAGATCAGAGTTAGGGGAAATGCTGAGGAGTCCCAGGACATCTGGGGGTGGCAGGCCCACCAAACCTGGACCTTCCTCGCCTTACCCCAAAGACACCCTGCTTCCGTGCCAGAGCACTATTCCCAGAAGCCCCTGTCCCGCCGTTCCAGTTCCAGAAGTGGACATGGGATTTCCCACTGGTGACAATGCAGCTGCTGTCACGAGGGCTGAAGCCGACAGCCAGGACCGAATCATTTGTGCTCTGGAAAGGGAAGACAGGATGGAGCCACCCCAGCCCTAAGTACCCATGGTCCCTCCAAGCTCCACAGGTGTCCTAACAGTGGCTGTGCCCTGGGCCCCCAACACAGGAAGAACTGCAGTCCCCTCTTCATAGATGCAGGGAGTGAGATGGAGAAGGAGGGGCCTGCTGGGTCCCAGCCAAGAAGGCTGTCAGGAACAGCCAATATCCCCACCTTGATCTCTGCCAGCTTAGTCCCCCGGCCACAATCCCACACGGACAGCATGTGCTCGTTGGAGTCGTCCACCACACAGAGAAAGGCGCCCTGGTCCTAGGGATGCAGAGAGAGCCAGATGAGCACTCCAGGTGCAGGCATCCATAGGCATCAGGCACGGTGCGGCTGACTGGCATGGTGGAAGTGGCCTGGAGCCCTGGGCCAGCTCACCGCTACGGAAAAGGCCAGGGCGCCTACGCCACGTTCAAAGGCACCCAGTCCGATCTCCTGCAGCTTCAGCAGTGTCTCTGAGTCCCAGATGTGGACCACCGGCTGCAGGGGCTGCGGAGGAGGAGGAGTGGGTCAAAGTGGAGGACAGGAGCAGGCCCCACCTGTCTGGCCTTACCTTGCCATCCTTGTCCACACCAGCCGTCTGTCCTGAAGCCACCCGGATGCCATCAGGGTGGACTGCGAGGCTAGGCAGGAGAGGATGCTCTAGGGAGAGTTGGTCTCCCCCAAGACCTGAGTCACCTCCCTCCAGCCCTGCTGCCCACCAGCCCCTCTTCCTGCCGGGCCCATCCTGTGCCAGGCCCTCACCATCGAACGCAGTCTGTGTGCCCCCGATAATGTCTCTGGCCACCATCTCCAGGTCCTCCAGGACCTCCCCCAGGCCGGTATAGCACCACCACACAGGCAATGAAGTAGACCACCTCCCCGGAGCGCAGTACAAACAGGTTGGAGCGGGAGTCCCGGCCCCGGTACCCGTAACTGGGCAGGGGTCAAGTCAAGGAAAGGGCCCAAGAGGCATACAGGGCAGATGGGAAGACTGTGGCTTGTGAGGGTGTGGGTGAGGATGCAGGGCTTCTATTCCCTCATGCCCAGGAGGAAGTTGGGGAACCCAGGAAGGATACACCCAGTCCAGGCTGAGGGTCTCGGGGGGCAAACCACTGGGCAGCTCCTCAAGACTTCGGATGCCAGAGGGGATGTACATGGTGATTGGGCGGCCACGGAGGAACATCTTCACCGAGATGCCTTCTGTGAAAGAAGGGGGTGTCACCACCCCTTCATTGAGAAAAAGTCCTGGGCCCAAGTGCACCCTTGCCTCATCTCCTACACATACCCAAATTGTAGTTGCTCCTCCGAGACCCAGGGCCTCCAGGGCTGGAGAGGGGATCTTTGCCCCCACGGCTGTAAGGGAGAGAAGTGTAAGGACTGAGGACACCAAAAAGGAAGTTCCTCCAGAAACCAGTGACTTAAGGAGACCCTGTCTCAAAAAAAAGTTAAAAGGGCTTAGGATGCAGCTCTGTGCAAAAGCCTACGGGTCAGTCCCACAGACTACCACAAACTTTTTTTGGGGGGTACCACGGATCGAACTCACCTCACGCTTGCTGGGCACATGCTTATGCCACTGAGCTAAATGTGGTGGCCCTGACTACCACAACTTTAAAAATGTATTTCCAGGGGTGGGGATTTAACTCAGCGGCGTAAGCACCTGCCTTGCAAGTGCGCAGTCGTGAGTTCGATCCCTGGTACCAATAAAAAAAAACTAATAATAATAAAAATAAATAAATAAAAAATGTATTTCCAAAGGGCTGGAGTGTAGCTCAATGAAAGCCCTGGGTTCAGGCCCAGTAGCACAAAAACAGCAGGAGTTAGACCAGACCACACAGGCATCAGAGGCAGTGCCGGCACCAGTGCCCTTCCGGCCTCTGTCTTCACCTTCCCAGATACCCGGGCAGCCCTGTCCCTCTGGGGAGAGGAAAGAGACAGCTGAACTCCAAGGATCACTGCCATCGGGGGATGTGGTAGCATTGTCTCTTCAGCAGAAGAGACAGGGCAGGATGCACACCCTGGAGCCCTGAGGCAGAGTCCTGCCTCCTGGTGTCCCTCTGCCCCAAACAGTGAGTGCACAGGGACTTTTTTTTTTTTTTCTCCATGGGACACTGTAGTGATTAGAGACTTAATAGTTTGGGGATGGTCACCTACCAGATCATGAAAGCTTCAGGAAGAGCCTTGAGGGCTCCAGGAAGGCAGCTGTGAACCCTAGAGGTCCCAGGGCTGAGTGCTAGGGCCTGGCCCTTTTGGGCAACAAGATAGAGCCCCAGAGGGGAATGGGTGCTCCGGCCCACCTCTCTGTGCTCCCCAAGCGCAGCAGCAGGTTGGCGGAGGATGCAGCCTTTCGGGACAGTTTCTGCCGAGGCCGCTCAGAGGGAGAGGATGAGGACGAATTTCTCCGGGGCCTGGCAGGGTGGATGGACAGGAATTCAGGTGGCAGTCTGGTCCACAGGCACAGCCCGCCTGCATGCCAGCGACCCAGGTCACCTACGTGTCCACTCGTGCTGGGGGCTGCCCTGGCCTGAGCATCCCGGGGGGGCCCGGCGACCCAGCCCCGCTGCTGCCACTGCCGCCTTCAGAGAGAGCTCCACCAGGGACCTCGCTGCCCGTCCGGGGGCCAGGGGGTCCGTTGCTCAGGCCGAGAGGGCCATGGCCCGGCATAGAGTCTTCCTGTGGCTCGGTCTGGGTGCCTCGGCTCACTAGAGATGGGGTGCAGGGTGGCGGCAGGCCCGGGGGCGCTGCAGAGCTGTGGGGACACGAGGGGAGGAGGCGTGGCGGGCGCCTGTCCATCCCTGTCCCCTGTCCCCTTATTTTCTGACCCTGCCCCGCCTGTCCCCGTACCGGTCCCCGTCCCCGTCCCCATGCGGGGGTCGCATCCGCAGGAGGCGCAGAGCCTCAGCCAGCGCTGCCTTCACGAGCTCCATCTCCTCCTCCTGCGCTTGCAGCCGGCGGCTCAGCACCCGCAGAGCCTCAGGGGCGGCGCCCGCACCTGGGACGGGCGGGATGCGGGGCATGAGTGTGGTTGAGGAATGGGAACGGACGGGAGGGACGTGGCGCCCGAGGACACTCAGCCCGGATAGGGCGGACCTGAGGACGCACGACGGGACGGACAGAGCGCGCCACCGTTCGGGAGCGGTGGACCCGCGGAGTCCCACGGCCTCCGTGACAGCGGGAGGAGTCGGGGGATGGGGACAGGGGCAGCCGCTCTAGAACTCACCGGGCCCCGAGGCCCCGTCCATGTGGCCCGCGGTTCCGCGGTGGCGGCGTCTACACCGCCGCTGACTCGGCCTTGCCAGTCCCCATGCGGGCTTGTGGCGCCGTGGGCGGCGGGCTCCGGGCCGCGCGAAGTGTCGGACGCCGGCGCAGGAAGCGCGGGCGGAGCAGCCCCTCCCCGTCCGCTCAGGTCCCCGCCCCGCGGGTAGCGCGGGACCCCACTTCCGCGAGGCGGGGCAGGCTGTCCCCACAAAAAGGGGCGGGCCAGTCCCTAAGCAGATGGGAAATGTCCCATGGGGTTATCCAGCCTGTCCCCATGGAGGGGGGAGTGTCCCCATGGGGTTATCCAGCTGTCCCCAAGGAGGGGGAGTGACTCCGTGGGGGGTCCAACCTGTCCCCTGGTAGGGGGAGTGTCCCTGTAGGGTTGTCCTATGGTGGGGGAGTGTCCCCGTGGGGATCTGGGCTGTCCACATGGGGCAGGGAAAGGAAAGGACCCTCTGGTGAGTTGAGCCTGTCTCAACAGAGGGAGGGATGTGGGGAGTGCGCCCAGGGTATTGGGGTCAGAGCCGCATTAGCCTGCTGGAGCTGAGCTGCGCTGACTCAGCCCTATCTCCCAGTCCCTGACCACCCCTGTTACTGTCCTGTGCCATCTGCCTGTCCTGATGGCACCCATGCTGGCTCTGCCGCTGCCCCTCGGGCCCCGAGTGCGCCTGGCACAGGGACTCTGGTTGCTCTCTTGGCTGCTGGTGTTGGCGGGCAGCCTGGTACTGCTGGGCGCTGCTCACCTCCTGTCCCAGCTGCGCACCCTGGGCGCCTTCCTACCCCCGAGCTGCTACTTCCTGACGCTGCCTCGAGCTGCACTGCTGGCGGGTGCCACAGCGTTGGGAACAGGGCTGGGTGGTGCGGGTGCCAGCCAGGCCAGCCTGGACGCGGCACGCTACCCAGCCTGGCGTGCCATGCTGGGCCCACTGCTGCTGGTGGGTGCACTGGGCGGTGGGGGGCTGCTGGTGGTTGCCCTGGGGCTGGCCTTGGCACTGCCTGCAGGCCTGGACGCAGGGCTACAGGAGGGCCTGGGGTCCGCCTTATCCCACTACAAGGACACAGAGGTGCCCGGGCACTGCCACACTAAGTGGCTGATGGACGAGCTGCAGCTCAGGCACCAATGCTGCGGACGCCATGGCTACAAGGACTGGTTCGGGGTTCAGTGGGTCAGCAGTCGCTACCTGGACCCCAGCGACCAGGACGTGGCAGAGTGAGTGACTTCTGTCCCCCGCTGCTGCCTGAAGCCCCCTTTGCACTCAAATGGGCAGTGGTAAGCCCCCCACCCAAGGCTCAGCCACAGCCCCACCAGGATCTCTGCAACCCCAGGCTGGGGCAGATTTCCAGAGGGCTGTCCAACCTTCTCCACTGTGAGCCGGAGGTGGCCTGCAGATAGGTGAATTGGGCACACTCAGCACTTGGCTGCAGCCCACATCTTGCACAGCCTCCTTCCCTTCATGCTGCAGACACCTGACACCATCTATTGTTGCCACAGCCGCATCCAGAGCAACGTGGAAGGCCTCTACCTGACCGACAGTGTCCCCTTTTCTTGCTGCAACCCCCACTCGCCTAGGCCCTGCCTGCAGAGCCGCCTCTCGGACCCTTATGCCCACCCACTCTTTGATCCCCGGCAGCCTAATCTAAACCTCTGGCCCCAGGGGTGCCATGAGGTGCTACTGGACCATCTGCAGGGCCTGGCAGGCACCTTGGGCAGCGTACTGGCCATCACCTTCCTACTGCAGGTGAGGGGGACACCTGGCTGCTCCACCTCGTGGGCCCTAGCAGCAGGCCCTTCCCACATTTCCTCTCACTCCTGTAGGTGCTGGTGCTACTTGGCCTGCGGTACCTGCAGACAGCGCTGGAGGGACTTGGTGGGGTCATCGATGGGGACGGCGACACCCAGGGCTACCTCCTCCCCCGAGGGTTCAAAGATATGCTGAAGACAGCCTGGCAACATGCAGGGGGTACCCACAGGCCAGCACCTGCTGAGTCACCCACAAGAGAGGGCCCTGCCCAGGAGGACCTGCCAGAGGCCTAGGGGCCAGGGAGTTAGGGTCAGGAGCTACAGATGGAGAACTTGGCTCCTTGCCAGGAGGCCCCTGAATTGAGGAACTGTCCACAAGCCAGACAGAGAACAGGCACCCTCCTCTGCCTCTGTGAACAGCAGCAATAGAGGACCGGAGGCTGCTTCTACACAGACTCAGTAATAAAGCTCTGGGACAGAAGCCATGGCCACAGTGATGTCCCTTCACAGGAGCGGGCCCTGAGCAGGCTGTGTCTGAGGAGAGGCCAGGCTGCCAACTCCCACTGCCTCAGTCTGAACAGGAAACAGGAGAGCAGACCACAAAGAGAACCACAGGCTCAGGTGGGGTGTTTATTCTGGAGGCAGGAGGGGATTCACATGCTCAGGTGTGGAGTGCCCAGCCCAGCTCCCCCAGCCCTCAGCAAGCTAACCCCAATAAGTTACCCATCCCCCAATCTGTCTGTCCCCTGCCCAGCCCAGCCAGGGCACTGCTACATGGCAGTGCCAGGGAGGACAGGCAGCCGGGCCATGCCCTGGGCAAGGGGTCAGGCCTAAAGAGCCCCACGAGGCATGTGCCTGAAATGAGCCAGAAGCATGGCAAGGCCATCACACCTCCACAGCCCTGTCTGAGCCACGGCCCTGCCGCTGCAGCTGCTCCTCCTGCTTCATCTTGGGCTTCTCTGTCCGAGTGTGCCACACCAGCACCTGGCAGGAGGATGCAAGGTGGAGTCGGGCCAGGCACTGAAGCCCTCCCTGCCCTCTGTACAGTGCTGACTGCAAAGGGGTAAGCTGGGAACCAGGCAAGACTGGTGCCTGTCCCTCCACTTCTCATTTCACGCGGGTTCCCTCCCCATTCCCAATTCCCTTTTCAGCATACCAGACAGCGCGAACGAGGAGGACTGAGGGTCCCTCCATTCACAGTCCCAGGGACACCCCCACCCCTAGCACCGGCCCACCCGAGCCAGGTCCCAGCTGCTGCCCCCTACCCGGGTGCAGTTGGCAGCCCGTGGCTCCAGGTCCTTGGGCTCCACTAGGTGACTCAGGAGGCTGCTTTCCAGGTGGCCTCGAGGGGCAGCAGCATCAAATTGTGCATCCGGCCTGGCCAGCAGGAGGGGCAGGGCAACCGCAAACCCCGCCATGTCCATAGGGAAGGGCCTGGTGGGCTCCCACGCTGTGTGGAACCCCACCACCCGGCCATCCTGTACTCGAGGACCCTCGAAACGCAGGCCCCCAACCAGCCCCACTGGCCACACTGAGACACCCCGGGTCCAGCGCATCTGCCAGAGATCAAGAGAGGAGACAGGGTGGTCCAGGGAAGCAGAGGTAGAAGAACAACATGATTCCCTCCACCCAGAGTACCCCACTCCTCACCCACCCTACAGCCACCATCACCCCAGCCCTCACCTCCTCAAAGAGAGCCCTGCTGTAGGTGTTGTCATCATCAGCAAAGTACACAACTCCTGGGGATCCAGGGGGTGGCGGGTCCTTCTCCCCACCAACAGCGCCCCCTTGGCCCCGGAGCCAGGCCAGAGCCCCGTTCCGCTGCTCCACACCCCGAGGCCGCACCCAGCCAGGCTCACCCTCTCGGAGCCGCTGGGCCTTGGGTGTAAGGACAGCCAGGTGGGTGAAGAGGAGCCCGGAGGCAGCCAGCAGCCCTGAGACCAGTGGGGTGGGACCCTCGGCATCCTCCACCAGCAGCCAGTGCAGCCGGGGCACCAGGCTCAGCGTCTGAGACAGCCGTACCAGCTCAGCCTTCTGCACCAGCCTGTGGAGCAGGCAGGAAGGTGCACTGCAGCTGGGTTCTCCCGGGTTCCCCCACTGGCCCACACTCCTGCTGACCCCCACCTAGCCTGTCCTTCTACCCTGGGGCTCTAGCAGTTAATGACACGTGGTCTGGGGTCAGGCAAATCTGTTTTTTTTAGTGGTTGTTTTCTCTCTCTCTCTCTCTCTCTCTCTCTCACTCTCTGTCTGTCTCTCTCTCTCTCTCTCTCTCTCTCTCTCTTTTTGTACTGTGAATTTAACTCACAACCTCACACTTGCCCAGCAGGCACTGTGCCACTGAACTGTATCCCTATACCCCCAACCTTGGGTTTTAAAATCTTTAATTTTTTTTTTTTTCAGTTTTTTGAGACAGGATTGTGCCATGTAGGTTAGTGACCTGAAGTCACCATGTAGCAGAGGCTGGCCTCCAACTCATGGCAACCCTCCTGCTTTAGCCTCCTGAGTGCTAGGATTACAGACATACACTTCTATGCCTGGCCCAGACCTGGGTTTGAGTCTCAGATTTGGCAGTATCAGGGAAAGCGTCTTTACACTTCAAAGCCTACCTGGCTGTAAAATAGGAATAAGCATACTTGATGTTTTAAAAAGAGTCACTGGAGATAACTCAGTGGTATAAGCACCTGCAAGGTCATGAGTTTGATCTGCGACACCAAAAAAAACAAACAAACAAACAAAAAAACTAAAGAGCCTTGTGCATGACAAGCAAGCTCTCATTAAGAACAGTTCATTGGCAAGCTCAGAACTTCTTTGCAAGACACTTTAAAACCTTTGGTTCATCTTTGCCATGCTCTAATAAGCACAGCACCTCCCAAATTCATCCTCAACTAAGACTTTTGGGAGGATACAGTCCTGGGTGCCCAATGCCCATACCTCGCATAGGTGGGGGTAATGACATAGATGGTCGGCAGGGCCTCGGGGTCAGGAGGCTGCGCGGGGACGGCAGGCGGGCGTCGGAGGTCAGCCTGCAGCTGGGAAATCTTCAGATCCTTCTGCCGGAGCTGCTCCGCTGCTGCTCGCAGGGCAGGGAGGCAGTCGCAGGGCTGGCCTGGTCCCAGGGAGCAACGACAGGGGAAATGATGGAGCAGAGAACCACAGATCATTCACAGCGCAGAGGTTTAACCCCACCACTCTCGGCCTGTCTGCACCTCTGGCGTGGGTAGCGCGCTACTTCAACCTTTCTCCATTTTTAATGCATCCTATGAATGTGCGTGCGTGTGTATATCCCCCACAAAACCAGGGATGGAACCTGGAGACTCCGCGCGCAGGCTAAGTAACTCCTGAGCCTCCTGCTGCACCCCTGCCCTGGGAGTTTTTATCTGGATATTGAACTGATTGCGTCCATCCTGCCCCACTGTCGGTCCTCACTTCAGCTCTGGACTCCTAAGGAACAGATGTGTATGCCGGACTGGGTCGGTGTCACACGGTCACCCTGCACAGGAGCTCCGGGGCCGTGCGCAGAGACTCCGGCCTGGCCCGCTACCGGGAACACGGCCCAGGTGCTAGGGGCGCGGCAGAAACAAATCAGCCCACGCCAGCGAGGACGCCGGCCGTCCGAGGGGGCACGTGACGAGGTCACGGAAACCGCGCCCAGGCCGCAGGAGGGGTCGCGCGGCACTGGAGGGAGGAAGGCCCGCCTGACCGCTCACCCAGCTGCACCAGCGCGTAGAGCAGGCCGGCGATCGACACCAGGAAGTAAACGAGGAACACATTCTTTAGCTTCAGCTTCATGGCCGCGCCGCCGCCGTCGCGGCCGCCCCACCCGGCGGAGTCCCCGGGCGAGAGGGGGTCCTTCCCACCGCCTGTAGGCCCCGCCCCCGCCGCGCGCCCCCGCACCCGCTCCCAGCAGCGGGGCAGGCAGCGCCGCCCGGCGCCCACTTCCGGTCATCGGTGCCCTCCCAATGCCAGCTTCCGGTCCCACAGCCTGTTTCCGGCCCGGCGACCTCACATCCGGCGTGTGGAAGCGGGGTCGCGGATCCCAAACCATTTGGGGACGTGTTCAGGTACGAGGTCTAGTGCCTGTGCCTGGCCTGCGCCCACAGAGCCGGGCGCTCCTGGTGATCCTGAGAGCGCGAGGTTGGGGTGCGGCGCAGTGGTGGAGTGGGCTTCATACGCAGCCCTGCGAAGGGAAAACCGTGCTCGCTGTGGCTGCACATACAGTATACAAAAAGGTCCCCGGCGCAGAGCCGGCTGGCTTGGCCCGAGGGTGACACGCGCATTTGTGAAGGGGTCGTATTTCTTGAAAAAAAAAGAAAGCCCGTGGGATTGTCCTGCGCCCTTCCTTGGCTTGTTGAGACATTGTCTCACTTTGTGGTGCAATCCTCCTGCCTCAGCCTCCTGAGCGTTGCAGCACGATTTTCCCCTTTTAAAAACCAGGTCTTGGGAGCCAGGCGTGGTGGCTCAAGCTACTCGGGAGGCTGAGGCAGGAAGATCGTTGCGAGTTCGAGATCAGCCTGGGCTACAAAATGAGCTCCAAGGCCAGCCTGAACTGCATAGTGAGACCCTGTCTCAAAATGATAAAAAAAAAAAAAAAAATTAAATAAATAAAAACAAGATCTTGGGGCCAGGGGTTTAGCTCATTGGCATAAGCGCTTGCCTGGCAAGAGCAAGCTCAAGAGTTAGATCCCTGGTACCAAAAACACCCAAAAAACTAAGATCTTGCTGTATAGACCAACTGGCTCTCAAATTCTCAAATCCTCCATCTCAGCCTCCTAAATGCTAGGATTCTAAGTGCAGACCACAGCAGTTTGGAGTGGATTGTCTCTATTTCAAAAATTAAAGTTATTGTCATAGTCCAGGTCCCCCCCCACCCCCCGGTTTTGTTTTGTTTGGTTCTAGAGAAAAAAACAATGCCTCGAGCTTGCCAGGAAGGCACTTAAGCAAATGAGCTAAATCCCAGCCTCACCAGGTTTCTTTTTTTCTTTTTTTTGGCTAGTTCAAGCTAGTTCTAGCTAGTTCAAGATGACCTCATGTCCAGGGGGCATTGAACTCCCCCAGCCTTGTGCCTTGGCTTCTCAAGTGAGTCTTGGAGCAGTTTTCTATGTCCACATAGAAACCCATCTCCAGAATGCGTGTTGTTTCTTCTGACCCAGTTCTTTCCATCAAATCTTGGCAAGGAGGTGTTCAGGCAACCCATCCCTGGAAAGAGCTGAAGAACTTCTTCCAAGCTAGGGTACCCTATGGGACTCCCTCCCTCCAAGCCATTCTGAACTTCATTTCTCATATAATAGCCTCTAAGACATGTATGTGTTCAGTGTACAGAATGGAAGAATGTATTTCCTGTCACACAATGGGAGGTTTTATTTAACCAATACACAATCATAAGGTTTTAATACAAATGCTCAGTATTGAGATCAGGGATACCTCAGCCTTTCCCCTTGATTATCTCCCTATAGTTGAAACACTCAAAATCCTTTCTGTAGTTTTTACATATATTTATATAGATGTATATAAATATATATCACCCTGCTGTGGGTAGCACACTACTGTAATCCTAGCACTCTGGGAGGTTAAGGCAGGAGGATCCCACAGTCAGTCCCAGTTTAGGTAATTTAGCAAGACCCCATTTCAAAATAAAAAGAGGCCCTGGGTTGTTGTACCATAAAAATGAAGGCTCATCTCAAGTCACTCTCTTGTGCATCGTGACTTTTTCCCACCAGATAATTAACTTTTCCTTTCTCTGCCTCCCCAAAATGGGAGGTTTGGGAGACAGGGTATCCTGTCACCTGGGGTATCGGGAACTCCTAGGCTCAGGCAGTCTTCCTGCCTCAGCCCAGAGTAGCTCCAGCTACAAGCTAGCACGTAGTCCAACAGAATTTCTAGGCTAGGGATATAACTCAATGAGAAGAGTGCTAGCCTAGTACACATGAGACCATGAGTTCCATCCCTAGCCTTACCAAAGAAAAAAGAATGTTAAATGGGGAGTGGTGGCATACACCTATAATCCCAGTACTGGTGAGGCAGGAAAATCTAAGCCAGTCTGAGCTACATAGTTTTTTTGTTGTTGTTTTTTTAAAATCAATTTTATTTAATAATAAAGGAAAAAACCTACAACAAAACTTCAAAGCACAGCAATCAGGGGACAACAATGGTACATACATTGTGCACTGTCATCCTCAAATCATGGGCTAGTGAGTCCAGGCCAGCCCAAATCACATAGTAAGATCCTGTCTCAAAAAAAAAAAAAAGGTGTGTGGAAGCCAGGTATGGTGGCACACACCTGTAACCCCAGCATTCAGGAGGCTGAGGCAGGAGAATCATTGCAAGTTCAAGACCAACCTGGGCTACAAAGTGAGTCCTAGGCCAGCTGAAACTGCACAGCAAGACCGTGTCAAAAAGACAAAAAACAAGTATGGGCACTGACCTGAGAGCTATTTTGACCCACAGATACACAGGAAGCCCTGGTCCACACACACCCACTAGGCCTGCTAAATCTAGCCCTCCTGAGAGTGTGTACCAAGCAGAGGGAAACTGGTGTGGGTTTGTTTTGCTCAAATGGAGTGGCTTGTGCCGAAGCCAGATGAAAATATTAGGCGCTGGGCCTTCTAGGCTACATCACTACAACCAGAATTCAGATCCTGAAAATTTTGTGTAGTTTATCTCTTTATTGTTTCTTTTATCAAAACCTGTCACAGTTGGGGCCAAAGAGGTTAAAAAAAAATCCCCCAGCCCCCACCCTGTTTCCCCATTAATCCTCCCAACACCCACCCGGGCTTCAGGCCAAACCTGGGCACACATGATCCTCTCCCCCACCCCATCTTCCCACAGCAATAAATACAGGTGACCATGATTCCATCAAGCCACAACCAATTTCTCCATCTTGAACACTCCAAGGGGACCCTAAAGGAGTAAGTTTAATGTCCACTCCTTAACTTGAGGAGCCGTGGAAACACTTTCTCCAGGGACAGAGAGGCAGCAGTGACTGCCCCAGAAGAGCCCAGCCACTCTGCCAGGAGGAGGTGGGAGGGAGCAGTTGTCAGCCCAATGGGGGCCTGTCAGGGCAATCCCAGCCCCCTCAGCAGGTGAGATCCCTCCCTCAGCAGGTGAGCCATCCCAGGACAGCTTCGGGCAGGACAGTGCCAGGGAGAAGCAGTACAGAGAGAGGGCAGCCAGATGGGCAGAGGAAAGGAGAGGAAGAGCCTTTAGCCCATACCCTCAGTGGTGTCTTCAAGGCATCAACAAGGAGGGGACAGCTGAAGTCCTCAGAGAAGCAGGATGGTGGGGAAAGGGGAGTGCAGGGAGGTCAGGTCATAGAGAAGCCCGGAGTCCAGGGCCAGCCATTTGTCGGGGCCAGATGTCTAGGAGAGGGAAGGTGAGGCCGGGGACAGGCCAGACTCAAGGCAGAAGGTGACTCCCCCACCCCCACCCCTGCCCTGGGTTATCGCAGCTGAATGCTCCAGTCAGAGGCCACACTGACGCCAGGCTTGCGCACAACCAGTGTGGAGGTCTCAGTGTTGTGCTGGAAGGACAGATGGCTCTCGGGAGACCCTGGAGGAGGCAGAGCAACTAACCGGTCAGCAGTCAACAACAGGGCTGTCCCCCTCCCTCGAGGTGGGCAGGCTGGCTCAGGAAAAGCACCTGGAACCTGGAGCACCACAGTGGCAGGCTTCTCAGCTCCCATGATCACCACCCGCTCGATCCACACTGGAGTCTCAAAGTGGCCTCGGAGGTCTGCAGAGCTGAAGGGAAAGGCAGATGCAGGCGAGAAAAGGCTGGGGCAAGGGAGGGAGACTGCCCCGCATCCCCCAGCCCATACCTGGAGACCAGCGTGTTTTGGGAGAAGGAGAAACGCCGCAGCAGAAATTCCTGGCGTGTTTGGTAGTTGAATGAGTGCCCATCATCCAAGAAGAGCTCACCTTGGGCCATGCCCTGCACAGGATGGAGGGGTGGACTGAGCAGGCAGAAGATGGCTTGGGGCTGGGGTGGGCCGGGGCAGCCAGGTGGCAGGGGTGGCCACTCACCTGGGGGCTAAGGGCAACAAAGAGGGTGATGGGGTCGTCCTTCATGCAGTCGGAGGAGCGCCGTACACGCATCCATCGAGGCACGACTGTCCCTCCTCGCTGGAACACCGGTATCTAGAGCGAGGGCAGAGCTGGGCTGAAGCCCTCAAGGTCCCTGGTATCTGCCATCACACACCAGTGCCCACTCAGATCCTGGGCTGCAGGGACACGTGTGTCCATGAGGCTGCAGAGCTACTCACACTGCTGAGAGTTACGGGCAGGTACAGGGTCTGTGGACCATGGTGCTTCTGGTAGCTCTGAATGTTGTACCACACCTAGGGGTGACACACAGGAAGACAGTAGTCACTCTGAGGGGCTGGTAGCCCCTCTGCTGTCTTTAGCTTCACTGCCCTAGCCAACCCACCTTTCCGCAACTCACCTCCCCAGAACCAGGCAGATAGACCTGCACACCATGGGCCCCAGCATCCGACACAGGATGAACCAGCAAGGCATCCCCTAAACAAGCCAGAACTCATTCACTCACAGCCTGGGGAAGTGGCACAGCTGCCGGGGTTCAGCCCCCCCGCTGCCAGGTGCCCTCCTCACCCAGCAGGAACTGGTCATCGATGCTGAAGGTGGTCACATCCTGAGGATACTGCACCCACAGGGGCCTGGCAGGGAGACAGGACAATGTCAGTCCAGACACGGCAATAGACACATGTGCAAACATGGCCAACATCTTTGACATGCTTGGTTTCACAAGACTTAGCTTACGACCAGTGTTCCATGGACAGGAAGACTGATGTGTGTCCAGACATGCCCGTAAGGCTGCATTACTGGAAAGACCCCAGAGCCAAGGCCCTGGCCTAAGGACCTGGCAGGAGTCTATGGCACCCTAAAGCCTCACCTCTTGCCCACAGGATACAGCCCCACACTGACCAAGTCTACGTGCCAGGAAAGGCCTCATGCTTCCACTGGGCCCTGTTGTCCTACTGAAACACTTTCCTCAAAGGACACTCAGCTTGCAGGCTGGGGCCCACCAAGCTGGGTGTCAGCCTGGCAGGTGGAAGTGAGGAAGGGCCTTCCCACCTGGCTGCGGACAGCGGACTCCACTCTGCTCCGAACCACCTGCCTGGCCTTGTGCTGCTCACAGGTACCAGGCACAACTAGCCCCAGCCCCATGGCAGCTCACCTTGGGCATTCATGGTAACCCCAGGCACTGACTCAGTACCCATTGACACGGAGCCCCAGGAGGCTGCGACCCTGTGGACACTACCAGCCATTCTACAGTGTGAGCCAAGCTGTCCAGCCACTCAGCTGAGGGTGTCCAGGCTGGCCCACCAGGAGTGGGTGTCATGAGTGATAAGTGCTTCCTGTGCTGACTGGCTCGGCTGCTCTTCATCTGTGAACTGGACTGTTCCTGCCAGGGAACTTAATAAGCATGCGCAGGGTCACTGGGGCATCTGGGCCTGCTCTGAAAACAGAGAGCAGCCCCCCAGGAAGAACCTGGGGTGCATAGCACTGGTACAGCCCCCAATCACACTGCCTCGCCTTTCCCTTCCCGTGTGTTTCCAGGCAGCGGAGCCTTGAGTGTGAAGACTAACAGAATGGGCCTGCCAAGTCCCTCCCTGTGGACAGGAGCAGGGGCAGAGGTGAGGTGGAAGGCGCTGCAGTGAGCTCAGGGTGCAGGGCATGCTGTGCATGGACCACAGGGCGTCCAGGCCTCATCTTGTGTGGCCTTCTCCAAGGCTACTGTCACTTCTGTCCCCACCTCCTGGTCTCACTTCTGTCAAGCAGCTTGTCATTCCACAGCCAGTGTCCTTCAGACTTTCATGGTTACACCTTATACCCCTTGGCCCACCCTTCACACTTCACCTGCCACTGAGCCTCAAGCTCAAGCCTTCCTGCCACAGCTCCCAAGTGCAGGGATTACAGGGGTCCAGGCCCACCTGCTCCCCTCCATGTTGCCATCAGACTCCCTCCTCTAGAAGGTCTTGGTGAAGATCCAGACCAGGCCCCAGCAGGGCCACTCTGCAGTCCCAGAGTATGACTCACCTCATGACGGGAACGCCTTCGATGTGCGCCCGGTAGAAGAGGGTGTACCAGTAGGGCAGCAGGGAATACCGCTGGCCCAAGGCCTCCCGGATCACTTCTTGGTGCTGAGCTGGTAACAGCCAGGGCTCCCGTCGCACTGTGTCCAAGTGGGCATGAGCCCGGAAGAAGGGCTGGAAGGCACCCATCTGGTACCAGCGCACGAGCAGCTCAGGGTCCGGGTTCTTGAAGAAGCCCCCCACGTCCGCTGGGGAGGAGAGAGTATGTTGCAAGAAGTATAAAAAAGGGCACCTACACTAGCAGCCCTCCTGCTTCAGTGCTCCACCCTCACACTGCCTCTGCCCCCAGACATGTCCTGCTCGCCCTTCTCACCCCCACAGAAGGACAGTCCCACCAGCCCCATGCTGAGGCACATTGGAATAGAGATCTTCAAGTGGTCCCACTCAGCAGTGTTGTCCCCTGTCCATACGGCCCCTGGGAATGGAAAAGGCGCATCAAAGAGAGGGCCCTTCTTGCACGGTGGGAGGCCCATAACCTGGACAGGGACACCCCCTGAAGACCACTGCTGGGAAGGCAATGCCCAGGCCATGGCTCCAGTGCCAGGATCTGTGCCCTCTGCCACATCTCCACTCTCTGGATCTTACCAAAGCGCTGGGAACCAGCGAAGAATGCCCGGCTCAGGACAAAGGGGCGCTCAACACCCCCAGAGCGTTGGATGAGCCCTTCTGCAGTCGCCATGTGCTGGGGAGATGGAAGCAAGAGCCAGTGTCAGAGGCATGCTGCCTGGCCCCTGCCCTCCTGCCCGTGCTGCGCCTGTGCCATACCACATAGAAGCCATAGATGTTGTGGACGTCACGGTGCTCCCAGCCCCCATAGTGCTGGGCATCCTTGAGCATGGTAACTTCAGGGCCGTTGAACACGGAAGGTTCGTTCATGTCATTCCAGATGAAGAGGTTGGGAGCGGAGCCCTGGGGACACAGGCAGAAGATGTAAACAGGACAGAAAGAAGACAAGACCCTGCTGGTGCAGCGTACTTCCTAAGGTGCTCCTAGGATCACTAAGGGCCCCCCCCCCCCTTTTACCACAGACAACCAAGCAAAGCAGAAATACTACTGGGAGAAGCAGGGCGGGCTGCACAGACCCCAGAGGAGGCCGCCCTACCTCGTAGTTGTCAAAGCTGAACATGCTGGCCCACCAGGCCCTCGTAGCAGGATTAATGAAGTCAGGGTACCCAGCAGAGCCTGGGAGATAATGAGGACAGCCTGTCAGCCCCCCACAGGTGGGGAAGCCACCAGGCCTCCTCCCTTGCCTTAGGCTTTGGGCCTGGGCCTGCCCACCTGGCCAGCACCAGCCCTCGTAGTCAGAGCCATCCCGGGTCTTCACATACAGGCCCTGGTTCCGCAGCTCCTCATGTACCCGGTAGCCAGAGTCCACTTTGATGTGGGGGTCCACGATGGCCACCAGCTGGGCGGGGCACAGCCGGTCAGAGTCCCCAAGATGTCCATGCCCCAGGCTCACCCATGAGGATGCACAGGGCTTCTGCCCCTCACCTTCCGCCGCTTGGAGGCCAAGTGCTGGAGCATACTGTGGGGCTGGGGGAACCGGCTGGGGTCCCAGGTGAAGTACCGCTTGCCATCAGCATGTTCAATGTCTAGCCAGATCACATCACAGGGGAAATTGTGGTCATCAAAGCCCTGGTCCACCTGTAGCACATCGGCTTCATCCCGGTAGTTCCAGCGGCTCTGGTGGTAGCCAAGGGAGAAGAGCGGGGGCAATGCCTGGGTCCCTGCAGGGTCAGTGAGGGATTCGTGGTAAGGGGCACAGTGGGGCTCAGGCCCAGCCAGGCCCCATGTGGATGCTCAGAGATGGAGAGAAGCCCAGGCCTCCTAGGAAGGAACAGGGCAGCAGGCTAAGAAAGCAAGGGCGCTGAGTACCCGTGAGGCTGGTGTACTGCCGGAAGACATCGAAGACAGAGGGCCCAAGCAGCAGAAAGACGTCGATGATGCCGCTCTCTGACATCCAGCGCACATCTGTCTGAGGGGTCTCCCCGGAGCCCTGCAGGTAGTCCAGCATTTTCCCAAACAAGGTCTGCAAGGACCAGAGGGCACTGCTCACACCCCAGCTCCAGATAGCAGCAGCCCTGCTCTCCTCAAACCCTTGACTGTGCTAAGCCTCTGCCAGGGACACATCTCCTGCCACCTTGCCCACGCCAGCTCCGTGTTGGCAGGATTAATGAAAGATTAATCCTCCCCTGCCCTCATCCTGCCTGCTGCCCACCCCACACTGCTCCTTCCTGAGATGGGGCCCCTTCAAGCTCGCAGCATCAAGCACCTGACACGAACGGCAGCCCCTATGCGTGCCCTCTGGATACCAGGACCCTCTCCCAGCCAGACACACCTTCCCTGCTGTATTGGAGGAGATGTCAACCCAGGTCTCGGCAGCATTGAGCCAGAAGATGCCCAGGTCACGGTGAGGACTGTGGGCCAGCAACACAGGCACGGACCCATACAGGGCCATGGGGTTGTCTAACTCATACTGGAACACATCCAGGTTGTACAGACGGTATGGTTCCCCGCCCCTGCAGAGGAGACAGGGTCTGGTGACAGCCTGTGCACCACACAGGTCTGCATCTCCCATGCCTCGTCTCTCCTATACTCACTCGGTGACCTTTAGCCGCAGGCTGTCTGCGTGTTCAGGGATCCCGTACACATGCTCCATGCCCGGCAGAGAGAAGTCCAAGCCCACAGATGTGGGGCCTGGAGAAAAGGCAAGGCTGAGCCCAGAGGTTCCCTGGGCCAGGGCTCCCCGCCCACCCACTGGCTGGGCCTCACCATAGGGCTTGCTGTCGGAATGAGTCTTGAAAGTCTCCTCCCAGGCCCCCGGCTCCTCTCTCTCTGTTGGCTCCTCTGGCTGTGAGGAGCAAACGGACCCAAGCTGTCACTAGTGGCTTCCTCCCCAGCACCGACATCCAGGCCACACCCCACCGACTTGCCTTGTCTCCATCCCCAGCTGCAGCCTCAGGCTGGGCCCCGTCGACCTCAGCAGGGTCTCTGGCTCCTTGCCTGGAAGGTAGGAAAGCTGTCTGCTCCAATCCAGAGGGGGCAGGGATGAGGGGCTAGTAGAGGAGGGGTGGGGACAGACAGCCACGGGTCCAAAGGAATGAAAGCGCCAAAGGAGGGACTAAAGGTTAAGCCTGGAAGGGCCTCACAGGCAGGCAGGGAAAGAATGAAAAAGTAGGGAGAATGCCACTAGCGGTGCCTCCCACACACAGGCCCAAGTCTGTCTTTGCTGGTGCCCCCAGGAGGCAGGCAGGCAGGCAGGCAGGCAGTCAGGCAGTTCAGAGGTCTGATGTCAGGTGGGCCCTGGACCTCCACTGTCCGGCCAGACAGCTGTGGCTGGGCCAGTGGGGTTGGTCCAGACCTGGGGCCTCCAGAGATTTGGTACTGGCCAGGGCAACTGGTATGCAGCCCCACCTAGAACCCCACTCTGTCCCAGCTGGGAGCCAGGCCCTCCCAAACAGCACCCCGCCACCCAGGGCAGGCAGTTGGCTCCCTAACATTCCTGAGGGCTCATACCCAGTTTTCTCCCTGGGCTCCCAGCCAGGGCAACAGGAAGCAGGATAGGGTGCAGGGCCAGGCATAGAAAGGTTCAGGGTCCCTTCCCAGGCCAGATAAGGGTGGGGAAGGCAGAGGAACAGATACAATACCCGTGGCCATGGATTTACCTAGAGAAAATGTTCTTGATCTTATCCCACATGCTACCGAGCGTGAGACTAACTTTATCCGAGAAACTGGGGCAGGAGGAGATGAGTAGGGAAGGGGGAAAGGAGGCACAAAACCAACACAAAAACAGAAACATAAAAGTGAATTTCAGTCGACAAACTTCCAGAGATGGGGAAAGAAACCAAAATAAACAATAAATAAATAAATAAGAAGGAAATTAACTTGGGAAACATGATGGCGTAAGAAAGGGGAGAGGGAGAGGTAGACCCAGGAGGCCTCCCACTGCTCAGGGCTAAGTCACTGCCTCCTGGTCTGCATGGGGATGGAGGACGCCGCTACCGCAACAGGCCTGACCCTCGAGGGCCCAGCACCAGGTTCACAACAGCCCAGGACATCCCAGCATCCCTCACCCACACCCTGCAGCCCAAACCCTGTACTCACGGGACCCTGCGGTGCCTCTGGTGCTCAAACTCCAGCAGCCCTCGGGCATTAACACTGAGCAGGAGGCTGCGGCCTTCCAGTAGGTCAAGGCGGAAGGGCTTCGCAGTCAAGATGATTTTGTAGGGCCCCTCGGCCACAGTCAGCTCCACACTATTGTCATCACGGCCAGAGACAGAGAGTCTGCAAAAAGACCAAAAATATTTGAGAATCGTAGGGCCAGGGGTCTGCTGGGGGAGAAAAAGGATGGGTCTGCAGAAGCTCCAGGTGGTGGTGACAGTACAAGGACAGGCATGCAAGCAGGGAGTTCCTGCAGCTTAGAAATGCCACCACAGCAGACCAGCAAGGGATAGGAAAAACATACTTCTCACAAAGGAAAAAAAAATATCATTTCTCACATCATACTAGACACAAACATCAACTAGAGAAAGGTTATGGCTTAGGGTCAAGGATATAGCTCAGTGGCACAGTGCCTGCCAGGCAAGCATGAGGTTATGAGTTCAGTCCCTGGTAACAAAAGAAAAAAGAAGGTTACTGCTTAAAAGTTTCTTCTTTGCAGCACTGGGGAAGAAACCCAAGGTCCTACATATGCTATTAGAGCGTAGGGTCTACCATGAGCTACACCCAACCCTGTGGCTTAAGGTATAAAACTAAATACATCAGAAAGAAATATAAACCAATTGACTTTTTTTTTTTCTTTCTGTCTTTTTCAGACAGGGCCTCACTATGCAGTTTATGCTGGCCTTGAACTCACTTTGTAGCCCAGGCTGGTCTCAAAGTTGTATAGATCCTCCTGCCTGTCTTCCAAGTGCTGGGATTATAGATATGTGCCACCACACCCAGCCCCTAGTTGATTTTGTTACCTTGAAACATCGAGATTATTTTCTTTTGAGCCAGGGCACTGTTACATTTCCCAACTGAAACTCATATGCCTGGGTTACAAAGGGGAAACACTGTGGCCCAGACACCAGGCCTATAGCACCACAGCTGACAGAATACAAATTTCTGTTCATCAAAAAACATATTGGAGCTGACCATGGTAGCACATCTCAGTAATCTCAGCACTCTGGAGGCTGAGGCAAGAGGCACACTGCAAGTCCAAGGCAAGGCTGGACCACATAGAGAGTTCAAGGCCAGCCCAGACTACACAATGAGATTTTGTTTCAAAAAGAAAAAAAAAACTTCTGGGCAGCATCATGGTGCATATCTGTAATCCCAGCACTTAGAACTCAAGTTTAAAAACAAAAAACAAAATAAAAAGAATTGCAACTTTGAGCCCAACAGGGGCAATGAAAAGATTTAGTAAGATCCTTTTTTGTTTGTTTGTTTGGTTTTTTTGTCTTTTTCCTTTTTTTATCGGTACCGGGGATCAAACTCACGACTGCCTACTTGCAAGGCAGGCGCTTTTGCTGCTGAGCTAAATCTCCAGCCCCTAGTAAGATCTTCTTGTAAAAAATAAGGCTGGAGATGTGTCTTGGTATGAAGACCTGGGCTCAGTCCCCTGTAGCACAAAACAGGCAAGAGACCCAGGGCCAACAAGGACCACTAGGTAAGATATATGTTTAGTTAGTCACGTCCCCAGCCAGGCCAGACCTCAGCAACAGCAGTGTGCATCTATCTGCTGACCCACTGAAGACAATGAAGGACAGGCAAAGCCCAGCAGCAGTGTGGAGGAGCAGAGAAGCATAGGGAAGCACGAGGCAGCCTCCACACAGGCTGGGTGGAAATGAGAAAGTAGCAGCATGAGACAGCAGGCGTCTTAGGAAACACGCACCGAGCTGGTGCGGGGTCAGCCACCAGAACATCGGACACCCGGTAGCGGGGGTGCAGAGGCTGCAGCTCATCCAGCCTGAACCGAGTCATGTTCTTCTGAAGCCCTTGCAGCTCCAGCACCAGCACCACCTGCAGGAATAGAACTCAGATGTGGGTGGGGCAGGTGGCACTCTTACAGGGGCTCCCTCGAAGGACGAGATGAGGGACTGGTCTATTCCAAATGCCCTATAGCCACCCACCCTGGCCTCCTGACCTTGGTGACCTCGTGTACCAGCTGGACCGTGAGGCCATCAGGCCCGAGCTGCAGAGAGTCCAGCAAGGCCCGGTATGGAGAGAGGCCTGGCCGGAGACTTCGCTGCCGCCTGCCAAGTCCAAGGAGTAGGAGTAAGGTTGGGAGGCTTCCAAAGTCCCTTGCTTTTGTCAGCTACCACAGACGCTTCCCATATCCCCTCCTCTCCAGCCCATCCTCCAGAGCCAGCATACTTGCAAAAGGAGCTCTCATCACAGGTCTTAAAGTTGCTTCTGTCCACAGCAAGGGCGTTCCCCATAAAGAGCCCTAGAAACACCAGCATCAAACCCATTCGATACCTATGGGGAAGAGATGATCAACAGGAGTGTGGGAAGGGACACCTTCCTGTCACTGCTACCAGACAGCTCAGGAGAGTGGGGAAAAGACTGAGACACTACATGGAAAAGAAAAGCCAGGTATGGTGGCCCACACCTGTAATCCCCACACTGTGGGAGGATGAGACAGGATTCCAAATTCAAGCTCAGCCAGAGCAACTTAATGACAAAATAAAAAAGCACTGGGGGTGTGCAACCCCTAGTACCACAAATACATGAACAGGGCCAGGCCACACCTTGCACCCAGAGACAGAGAAGTGAGCAACTAGCCTGGTCCTCAGAGGCCCTGGTGTGGATGCTGGTTACATCAGCGTCTCAGAGGATGGTGGCTGGGACAACCTGTCCCAAGGGGGAAGGTGGCAGGGACAGTAAGCATGCTGCATGTCTTGGGCCAGGCACCAATCAGGTGGGGACTGGCAGAGCTGGAACCTAGAGGCAAGGTCTTAAGCTGCTCTGGCATTGCCATCCCTAGCTTCCTCAGTGCCCCAGGCTCCCATCCACTGAGCCCTACTTCTGCATCTTCCCACTACTGCTACTGTCCTAAGCCGAAAACAACGTGGGCCACTGCCGGGCCCCACATGCTCTGTATCCCTCTAGCTTATTTCACTGCTCTTCTCGCTCATCCTCAGAGACTGACTGATATAATCGGCCTGATGTGGGCCTGGGCTTCAGGTTTTTGTTTTTGTTTTTTGTCATTTCCAGACAGGGTCTCACTATGCAGTTCAGGCTGGCCTTGAGCTCGCTTTGTAGCCCAGAATGGTCTCAAATTCTAAATGACCCTTCTACCTCAGACTCCCAGTGCTTAGATTATAGGTATGCACCACTACACCGGGCTTCTGGGCTTCAATTCTTTAAAAAATCCCTAGCTGGCATGGAGCTGTATAGTAGTAGTCTCCTACAACTTGGGAGGCTGAGGCAGGAAGATCTCTCAAGGCCAGGAGCTCAAGACCAAACTGTCTACCACATTGAAATCAAATCTCAAGCTCCTATTTAAAAAATTTTTCTTTCTCTTTTTTTTTGGGGGGGGGGGTGGTTTGTACTGAGGATCAAACTCATGACCTTGCACTTGTCAGGCAGGCACTGTGCCACTGAGCGATAGCCCCCATCTTAAGACCACATCTCTCTCTCTTTTTTTTAATTGATACCGGGGATTGAACTCATGACCACCTGCTTGCAAGGCAGGTGCTTATGCCGCTGACCTAAATCCCCAGCCCCATTAAGACCACATCTCAAAAAATTAAAAAATTTTTTTATTTTGTTTTTTAAGACAAGAGCTCACTATACAGTTCAAGGTGGCCTTGAACTCATTATGTAGGCTAGGTTGGTCTCCAGCTCTACAGCAAAACTGTCTTGATCTTCTTGAGTGCTGGGATTACAGGTGAGTGCCATCACACCTGGCCAAAAAAAAACCAAACAAAAAACAAAAAAACACTGTTAAATAAATAACCAGGCATGGTGGTATATGCCACCTACTCAGGAGGCTGAGACAGGAGGACCTCAAGTTCTAGACCCATATATGCAATTTATCAAGATCTTGTCTCAAAATAAAATTTTAAAAGGCCTAGTAGTAGAGCTGGGCATGGTGATGCATGCCTGTTAATCACCACACTGAGGCAGAATAGCCACAAGTTCATGGCCAGCCATGAGACTATCTCAAAAAAATAAAAGACTCACTTCTTTACATGCACTATCCCTTTCTTTAGGGAATGCAGCATTAGGATTTCTTCTTAGATGAGACCTTTAGCATATGTAAAGTTCAATGATTCATCCAAGTTTGAACAGGCAGAAAGGATGGGAAACAAATATAACCCATTTCTCCCTGATTCTGGACCCACATATTTTAATGTGACACAGAACTTGCTCAGAACAAACAGGACGAATCCAATTGGGACTATCACTCCAACAAACCATCACCTCCCAGTGTGCTGGCAAATGGAAGACAGGCACTAGTAACAAGCTTAAACTTAAATAAATTAGCTTGAAGGACTTATTCATCCACTGAGTGAGCCCTAAACAGGGGTTCTTACTTTAGTTTCTGTTAAGAAATACCTGAAGTGCTTATGCTTACCAAGTGAAAGTCGCTTCCGTATTTTGTTAGTTTTACAGTGCTTGGGCCTTGCACAAGCTAGCAAAACATTCTTCCGCTGACATACCTTCCTAGACCCTAACATATAGTTTAAACACCTGGAGACTGCTATGAGGAGTCCAAGTAGCACACTGTTTCAAATGAGACAAGGGAGCAGAGGAAGACATTTCTTTTAAACAAGGAAACTGCAATCTATGGTAGGGTAAGGGAAGGGTCTACCATCCACATTGCATCTAGATTAGCCTCAGTCAGTACCTGCTTTGGAGCTTAAGGTAAGGAATAGAGTAGCTCAGTGGTTCAGCAATTGCCTAGCATGAGGGAAGTCCTGTGTTCCATACCCAGTAATACCCAGAAAAAGAAAAAAAAAATCATCAGAACAAAGATCACCCCAAGCCAGATGTAGTGGTGCACATCTGTAATCCCAAGACTGGGGAGAATCAGGCAAAAGGATCACTGCAAATTCGAGGTCAGCCTGGGCTACAAAGTGAGTTCAAGGCCAATCTGACAAAAAAACAAGCAAACAAACAAAAAACCCAACCAGAACAGAGATTACAGAACACCAAGCTCTCCAGTGTCAGAAGAATTCTGCAAGACAAGCACTCCACACCAGACCAGTCAGGGAAGTCAAGCATACAGTACGCACTGGTTAAATTAGCCAAGGAGGAGTAAGCACCAGCAAACCAAGAAGAAATGCTCCACATCCATCTACAGCAAGGCATAAGCCCAGCTCCAGAGGAGTGGTGACCCCGTCCAACTGCCCCAAGCGGAGTGACCAGAGGTTCAAGCAGTTGGCACACTCTGGAGCACTATTCACTGTCTACCAGACAGGTTCGCAGAGATGCCAGAAAGGGAGTTTCCGAAGCATCTATTCGCTGCGACCTGTTGAAAGCCCTAGAACTCAAGGGATCTCTTAAGCACCCCGGAAAGGGACGAGCTGGAGGGCGGGCCGTGCCCGTGGACCGCTTTAGATCACAAGCCGCACAGGGTGAGGTCGAGACCCAGCCTCGAGCGACGCTCCTCCTGGACACTGCCAGTGCGGGGCACCGCTCTGCAGCGTGGCTTCCAACCTGTCGCAAACCTGTGTTCAAAGTCTTTCGGTTACGCGTCATGTCACTCCAGCGGCTGTGAACCCTGGTTCTGCCGCGCTAGGCCGGGGCCCACGTGCGGACCACCCGCGGGCAAGGTTGGCAGAGACGACAGGGACCCTGGTCGCGGGGTCATCGCTATTCCCGCCTCCCGACGACCCCGCCGCAGAGACCACAGGAGGTAGGGTCGACCGCCGCGGGCCCAAGGCCGAGGCCCGACCAAACGCAGCACGGCTGCGGCTTTCCGGCCCAAAGCAGAGCTGGTAGCTGGGCGCTGAGGCCGCTACGCGCGCAATCTACTGCCGGAGGCTGAGGAGCCCAGGTCGCCAACAGGGAGACAAGGGGCGCCCGCGGAGCGGAGGTGGCAGGAAGCCCTACAGAAGGGGGCAGTACGGGGTCTGGGGACCCTGCGGGGCGCGCCTCCGCGTTTCGGGCTCCTCACCGCCTCCTCCGCGCCACCACCTCCACTACCGCAGCCATCTTGTGCCGGGTTTGCTCCTTGACCCCGGGCCTCCGCCCCTGCGCACAGCTAGCCACGTACCACAGTGCCCGCCCCTTCCGACTTCCGATTGGCCCTGCGAGTCCCGCCGCCGTGGGCCCCATTGGCCGAGCGCACAATGCCCGGAGGCGGAGCCTGAGTACATGGGCGGGGCATCGGAGCCCGCGTGGTCCGGCTCCGCCCGCTCTCAACACACCAGGGCTCGGGATTGTCTTAACTGGCAAATTTTATTTAGAAAATACGTCGGGGAGGGAAAACACGACAGTGCTCACCGGACCTGGCACGGACCCGACACCTTGCTAGGGAGCCTGGAAGCGGCCAGAGAAGAGGCCCAGGCGGTCAACGCTGCGGTGCAGCACGCTGTGCAGCACGGCCAGGTGCGCGCCACTGCCCTCCCTGGAGAAGTCACGCACGAAGCGGCCGCGCTCCGGCTGGAAAGCGAACTTTTGGGGCAGTGGCCCGTGCTCGCGCAGGAAGCCCCAGACACTAAGCAGCAGCAGCCGCACCTCGAAAGGGGCTAGGCGGCCGAACACCTCGTGCATGTTCCCCAGGGCCGGTGGCAAGAGGCTGCCCTCTGCCATGACAGATACCAGCGTACAGGATGCCTGCAGGTGCCAGGGGGAGCCGGCCGTGTCCGGGTGGCGCGAGGCTTCCCAGTGGCCGAGCAGCGCAGCCAGCAGTCCGCGTAGGAGTACGGAGCAGTAGCACAGCGCCGGAGGCGCAGCCGCCACCAGCTTCAACAGCTCAAACAGCAAGGGCTGCTCGCGGAACCGACGGCCAATGCGGAGGTCGCGCTCCACCGTTGCCCGGGCGTGCTCCTCCGGCGGCCAGGCCAGCTCGGCGCCAGCAGCGTCGGGACACACGCTCTCCACTAGTGTCACTGCCACCGCCTTGGCTGCCTCCGGACTTAGGGTGGGAGCCGCCCAGCAGCCCCCGCAGTCCACACCCCCTGCAGCCCTGCAGCAGTGCACCAGGAGGCAAAGGAGGCTCTGGGTGTTGTACATTACTTCCTGCTGGTCCCTAGCCTGGATGGACTTGGGGGGCTTCAGACCACGGCCAATGACTCCAGCGTGGAAAACGGACCAGATCCCTCCAGGCCCAGGCACAGCAGCGGTGTGCCGCCGGTTCGTGTCCAGCAGGGAGGGCAAAGTGAGAGGAGCCGAGTCAGGGGAAATAGACTCACCCTCTCCATCCACCTCCCCTCCAAACAGTTCTGCGTTGCCTCGATGCAAAGCTCCCTCCACCAGCAGCTGCAGGACTGCTTTAAGTCCAGCTGGGGAGGTCTGAGAAAGGCGAGTGAGAAGCTGGGAAGCAGAGGCCACTCCTGGAGGCCCATGCAGCCTCAGGGAGGCAAAAAACCGGTGCACCCCAGCCCTCACCAGTCCTAGGAGCTGCGAGGGGGACAAAGCTTCCACAGGAAAGGGACAGATGGCCAAGAGAGAGGCTGCAGCTCCAGCTACTTCCTCCTCAGGGTGAAGCAGGAGAGGAGCCAGGTCAGACAAATGGGCAGACGCAGACTCCCCAAAGCGGGCTCCGAGGGCTGCAGCGCCCTCACCTCCCTGCTGTTCCCACCCCACCAACAGTGCCAGGTTGCGCAAGAAGCGGGCTGTGAAAGGAGGCTGGAGAGTCCCTGCATGAACCCGAGCCAGGCAGCTCCGAAATGCCAGGGGCAGGAGGCCGGAGAGACTAACCACCAGCCCTGCGTACAGCTGTGTGGCCAAACTCAACTCCTCAGGGCTTCGGGCACGGCTCAGTAGGTGGCCCAAGGCCTCAGGTCCACAGCTGGGCCTGGTATAGACAGACAGCAGGCCCAGGAGCTGGTGCTGCCAGAGGAAGCGTTTTCGTTCTAGCCGCAGCGTCTCTCCACACAGTTCTCCAAGGTGGTTTCTTAGCGCATCTAGGAAAGGCACTGGGCGTGGGGGTGGGGATGGGCCCAGCACCCCATCACCAGGGGACCCTCCCCTGTGATGGACTAGTTTTTGCAGATGCAGCAGCAGCAGCTGGATCAGCCGGTCACAGGCCTCACGCACGGTATCTGGCACAGCCAGGCCCTGGGTGGTGATGACTGAGGCAGGCATGGCTGTGTCCACAAGGAACTGCAGCAGATGGTAGGCACCTGCCCCAGAGGCCTGGCTCACCAAGTGCACAGCCAGGTTCAGCATGTTGTCCAGTTCTTCCCGAGGGAAGCCTTGCAGGTGTTGCTGCAGCTGGCTCAACACGGCCGGGGGCTTGAGACAGTCCACGAGCTCACCAGAGACTGTGCCCAGAAGAGCAGGTGACATGACTGCCAACTGCAGGAGGAAGGGAACTGTGGCCTGAAGGGAAGGGTCCCCACTCCGGCACCCAGCGCCCCCTGCAAGGCTATCATGAAACATTTGAAGGAGCTCCCGACGGATGCTGTCTCCATGGCGGGAGGCCAAGTGCCCTAAGATGCCCACAACCGAGGCAATCTTAGGCACTCGTTTTTCACCAGGGATGCCAGGAGATCCTGGGAAAGAGTCTGCAGAGGGAGTCTGAGAAGAGCTTCCACTACCACCACCAGCTCCCCCTCCAGCCCCTCCGTGTACACAGAAGTCCTTAAGGCCACAGGAGAGCACGCGTGAGATGATGGTACCAGGAAAAGAAGAGCCAATATGCGCCACAACCCAGTCAAAATGTGGGGAATGCTGGACAGAGGTATCCAGCAAGGCATCCACACATGCATCTGGGCAGCTACCAATGAGAGCTGAGAGGCACTGCACATATATGTCCATGAGTGTGCGGGTGGCCCTGCACCCCATCCACAGCTGCAGTAGCTCATTGAGGGAGCCAGTAGCATGGGGCACCCGCTGATGCTGACCTGAGTAAGTGCTGCTCAGCTGTCCCATGAGGTCAATGGACCACGCACTAATCACAGGTGCCCAAGCCTTTGGGTTGGCCCGGATAAACTCAGACAGCACCTGCTGTACTTCCTGCACCACGTCCTCTAGACCAGGTCCCCCAGTAGGGACATGGGAGGGTGGAGGCGGACGAAGGTGAGGTGGCCCTGCCATAGGGCTTTCATCTAGGGCAGCTAGGTGGGCCCGGACACTCTCATCAAAAACACCTCTTAAGTGGTCAAGCACAGCAGCCCGAGCTGGTGGCAGAGACCGGAGTAGGAGAAGACCACAGCGAGCATGTTCCCGGGCTGAGAGCTGGTGGCCCAAGATGGGGTCTATGCCAGTCAGAAAAGCCTTGATCTCCTGGGACAGCTCCTGAGCACTATAAAAAAGCAAAAGAAGCACACTTAGCAAGTTATAATCACTCTGTGAGCTTTCTTTACATAGGGATAACAACTGTACCTACCTCATAAAGGTTTGTAAAGCACTTGTATATCACACATAATTCCCATTAGTCACTCAATAAATGCTTGCTATTCCGTTCAATTATAATCATATCAGTAATAAAATAAAAATAGGTAACTTGAGATGATCAGGTATTCGGTTTTGGTGCCCACACACCCAGCCTAGTTTGGTGGTTGCTTAAGAACTTTTTATGTATTATTTCAGCCCTCAAAACAGCTTTACAGAGACAAACACCAAGGTTAAGAAAAACTATGCTTTTTTTTAAAAGAGTAGGAATCATTTCTGTGAGCTTCAACACTGAAAATACTTCTATAAGGTGCCTCAAATATAGGAAGTGCTCAATAAACACTTGTTAAATTCAGCAGGGTATGATGGTGCACTCCTGCAATCCCAGCACTTTGGGAGGCTGAAACGGGAAGATCAAAAATTCTAGCTCAGCCTGGGTAGCTTGGCAATTTAGCCTATCTAGAGACGAGGGGAAAAAAAAAAGCTAGGAGGGTAGTTCAATCAGAGGGCTCTGGATTCAAGTCCCAGTACCACCAAAGAAATATATTTTGTGTATCTTTCAAAAACACTTTCCCAGCTTTATTGCACCCTCTCCTACACATAACACAGACACCTTAGGAATCTGTACTTTGCAAAAGGAAAATCATGAGTGGCTCATGAAGGGTTTCACCTCCCAACACCCGCTGCTTCCTCCACTGGACAGGTATCCTAACCACTCACCACTCACTACCTACTCAGCACCAGCAGTGTGCCGGAAACCGGGTCGACAGAGTAATGCCTTCCACTCAAGCCACCCCCCAAACCAAAAAAGCTTAGTTCCAGCGGCTCGGAAAGCGGTGTAGCGGTAAGAAGCGAACCCCTTCCTCGTTTAGCCTTTCTGTCAAGAGACCGCATCCCCGGGTGATGATGAGACTGGCTGCGCCGTTCCTCTCGGTTCTTCAAAATCGTTTAAAATACAAAAAGAGCCCGAGAGGAGGAGGCTCGCGGGGCAGTCAGGTTCCTAGGTCTGAGTTCCGGGCCTCCACGGACCCACTGCCTCAGTCCCTTGGATGTAGAGGGACGCGGCAGCTCTGGGTTTGGCCGGCGAAGCGGCGCGGAGTCTGGACGGGTCTGAGCCCAATCAGGCTCGGGGTCCTCCGGGAAGGCGGAGATCGGTTTGGGCTTGGCGGGACGCGGGGCTGTGGCTACCTGAGCGGCGCGGGGCCGTGGGTGGCCGGGGTGGGGGCGGGCGCGGGGGGCCCCGGGGCCCCGGGAGGGTCGCACAGTGCCGACATCCCGAGCCCGCCCGGAGCCCGAGGCGCGAGCTACGGGGCGCAGGCGACGCATGCGCAGACAGGAGACACGCCGGAAGCCGTGCCGAGCCTCTCTGCAAAATTGGTCCGGCCACACCTGTGACCCTAGCGCCTTGGTTCCGCGCAGGTCCGCCCTTTAAGCTCTACACTAATAGTCCGCGCGCAGACTGGCAAGTTCGCTCACCATAGGCCATACTTGATTGCCTGGCGCCGGAAACACAAATACACAGCTCGCGTGCACAGCTCGTTTTAAGAAACAAAGCGGGACTGG